CCTGCTTATTGCCACTAATGCTCCTGGCATTAATTAAATAGTGAATATCATGCTGCAGACTTCAGAGTTATTCCTGCATCACATCCTGATCAACTCCTCAGAGCATCCCAGTGGGAAAAGGAGCAGGAGCAGCACATAAGTGACAGCTGAAAATCCCCAAATCAGGCTGCATCCTGAATAATGCCCAGCATTTTACAGTTTAAACAAAATACCTGCTAGTAACATCTTACCTCCTTATTGCAAAGAGCTGAGAGTAAACTGCAATGTATGAAACTGTACAGATTAATTACGCATATGCTCTGCATAGAGAAGAGCTTTTCAAGTTCTGAAGCATACGTCATTGAGGGACAAAGTAATTATATCACTGATCTAAATTCCTGGTGTCGCCTCTAAGAAAGCATTACACTCCTTCATACGAGTCACATTAATGATAATTCCTGCAAGTTGGCAAAGCCTTTGTGCTAATCAAATTGTTCACGAGTTGATGTGTGTTTTTGGCGCAGTTTTACATTTCCGAAAGACTAAGCTCTCCAACATTTGAAACTGTCGTTTGCTTTGAAGAATGTATCAAAAAAATCTATTATTTTTTTTAAAGTTGTTGGGAGCTTTGGGAAAGATCTGTATTAGGATGGCCCACTAATTAAAATAATCACATCTAATCACATCTCACTTCTGAAAAAAGATTTTAGATCTGTAGAGATGTAGAACGATTAAAATCAGTGCTAAAAAAATCCCAAAGCACTTTCCTCTTTCATGTGGAGTCAAATAGAACACATACTTTCAGATTTCAAAGTCCATTAAAACACCATCATCTTTGAAAACAGATGCACAATCAACCCCAGAAGTGATTTACACAAGTAAAATGCTGAAAACTACCAGAAACTATTCATGTTCAAAGTTCTCACAGCAGGCTTAGTCAAGACCACTTTGTATCACATATAATTAGGTCTTTTCAGACCATAAAAATAAATAATATATTTAGTAAATATGTTATTTCTTAAATACTGCTACAGCCTACATTGCCTTTGGTCAAGTGAATTTGACTGCTTGTGACATCTGATGTTAATTAAGAAAAAACATATTTGATAAAAAGTTCCTTGGAAAATTATCTAATTAGGCTACTGTAATTTAGATTTGTGGTTTCTGTAATTTAAAGTTTACTTAAATTACTATTGTTTCGGAAACTTTCGGAAGGAATGAGCATTAGCAGTCAGAATTTGCAATTTTTCTTCTCCACAAAAATTATTTGTGACATTTGAGTGTAAATCCCACAGGGGCATGTTTAGGAATGAGATATGTCCTGCTTATAATACCTGAGTTTCTAGGGCTCGGTCTACACTACAGCAGAAAGTTGAATTAAGATATGCAACTCCAGCTACGTTAATTACGTGGTTGGCATCAACATATCTTAAAATGTATTTCTGCACCATCCACACAGCGGGAGGACAACAGGAGCAAGCACTCCCGTTGGCTTCCCTTACTCCTCATGAGGAGCAGGAGTACCGGTGCCAATGTGGGCGCCCTCTGAATTCAATTTAGCAGGTCTTTACTAGACCTGCTAAATCAAACTCTGTAAGATGAACCACAGAAATGATCTTCCACATAGTAAAGATGCGACGTAGGTAATATCTCTCCCAAATTGTGGAACAGCACCAACTACAAGGGACCCGTTCACACGTTTTATTTTTCTTTTGCTGACATTGATCCATTATGATCCTTGCTTTTGGCAATGCAATAAAGGGACTGTACCAACAGAAATGAAGCAGTGAGTTTGAAAGAATAAGTAAGATCCTAAGTCAGAAATAAGTCAAAGAGCAAGAGCATTTAATAATCTCCTGAAATATGACATTTTGGCTACAAATCACTGTGAGCTTTCAAGAGCAAGAACTGAGGGATGTTTATATTAAAAAAATGCATTTCCAAGTGATTTCTAAATCAAAATGTCTCTGAGCGTTTGTATGAGCGTCAAAATGGCATGGTTAAAAGGAACTTTAATTTCACTGTCATGACATGGTGAAGAATTTCTTAAGAACTTAAAGATACCAGATCACCTGGCTTCACATGACAACAGCACACACACACACAAAAGATGGAATACCTCATAGTAAGTGAATAGGACAGCTGCCTGTGGGGGGAGTGATATTTACAAAACTCACCTCGTTTGCACCCTGTTTTATGGCAAGCATGGCTCTGATCCCGCAAACAGTTATGCACTGCTTTATTAATTTTACACATGAGAAGCAGATGCACTGAGCTCTGTGAAATTACTCTCATACGTAACGCTAAGCACATGCATAAACATTTCCAAAAGCAGGGCCTCCCTCTTGCTTTCAGCTCACCACCCCTTGTTCTGAGGCCAAACAGCAATGGTGTAAATAGTCAGCAATAGCCTAGTCCCTCCTCTCCCTGGGGCCTTGGTCTCCACTCAGGGGTGGCCCTAGACTAGCTACCAGCAACTGGCGCCTTAGGCAAACCATGCAATCGGCGCCCCCACCTCCAAACCCCTCAATGATATTGCACCACCATTTGGCGCCCCATTTAGCTTGGCACCCTAGGCAACCGCCTAGTTCGCCTATGGACAGGCCGCCCCTGTCTACACTAGACCAGGCATGTTGGCTTAAGGTATGCCATCCAGCTATGTAAAATGCATAGCTGGACTTGGTTTACCTTAAGCTGAACCTCCGGAGCATCTACACGGCGGGAGGCTGACAGGAGCACATGTTCCTGTGAGCTTCCCTTACTCCTCACAGAATGAGGTGCCCAGGACGCCAGCAGGGGGTGCCCTCAGCGTTCGATTTGGGGACCTACTCTAGACCTGCTAGATCGAATGCTTGAAGGTTGACCTCCACAGAGTCAATCTTCTCCATAATGCAGACATGCCCTGGGGCTAATACACATATTAACTCTCACACCTTTCGTAGAAGCTCATCATACTGTGCTCTACGTCTGAAATTTCAAGTATTATTGCAGCGGCCACTCTGGCTTCCACTTGCAACAGGCCAACATGCTCCGGTAGCTCAGTGGCACATCACTGTCCGTATGGGCAAACAGCCGCGAGCTCACAAGCATGCTGAGCCTTTCATTTTGATTAGCTTAGACGCTCTGGCAAAAGAAAGAAAATGGGGGGGAGGGAGGAATCAACCTTCCTGCGACTCTAGCAATCTGGTTCACTTTGAAAGCTGAAGAATGAAAGCGCTGAGAGCAGGATGTTGGTTAAATGGGTGCCACTTGTATTTGCCCCAGATGCGATGGAACTGGCATGCTGTTCAATACAAAATGATTAGCGATTGCTTGCAATCAGCCTTAGAAATCAATAGGCATTGAGTGACATAATGATCCTATGACATCATAAAGCCTCACAGCTGATGCTCAGGCTTTTGCCTATTTCTCCCCATTCTTGGCAGTCTGAGGGTGTTCACAAAAATGATCAGTTTTAGGGTGTTAATGAATGAGTTTTCACATCAGGGAGGTTTTATTTTTCTCAGTCACATTTTATTTGGGGGGAGGGGGTCACTAATCTTCCTTTCCATCATCAGCCTTCATAAGTTCTTAGTCAACTTCGGCCACGTTAGTATTGTGGAGAAAAGATTCTGCACAGGGACCATGAGACTGAATGCTGGAGGGGAACTCAAATATAAATGGGGAAAGAAAAAGATGGGCCTTATTTCTATGCATTTGTCTTGAAAAATGATGTACCTGCTGGAAGTGCTGAGAGCCATCTAATTCTATTTCACTAAGATATGAGAGTACCAAGTCTGTGTGACTGGACCGTCGTTTTTCCCCCCTCTCAGCCAAAACATCTTGTTACTGGCATGTTTTTTCCACAAGGTAACTAGCTAAGGCGGACAACATTTTCAAGTAGCCCCCAATGTCACTTTTGTATACATTTTAAGCAAGCATTGCTTGCACGCACATTCCACAAGGTACACTAAAGTACAGTGTAAGATTTACTGATCTCCGAGAGTGGAAATTCTGAGAATCAGCCTTACAAGTAGCAACAGCAGCCACTGAAGAACACTAGTTCCCTTCCCCAGATACAAATTCTACAGCATATAAAAATAAATAGACCCATTATTAAAAAATCTCCAGGGCCATATACTTACACAGCTCTCTAAAGCAGCCCTTTCTCCCAAACTACAACTACAGCTACTCCTAGATTGGACGAGCATCCGATATACCAAACCTTCCTTCATTTAATTTGCTTTTCCTTCATTTCCTTCATCACCCAAATCACGCATCTAAAAAATGAAGGCAGAAATTTAAACTCTAAAGACAGCCTTTAGTTACTGTCTTGCATGTCTGCCTCTAAAATAAATTGCAGGTGCACAAACGTTGGCTCAAAACTCAAGGCTAGTTTTACAAAGCTGATCCTGTCTGTCACATTACTGTCTATAGCGTGCTTCAGCAAAATACCAGAATTTGCAATGCAGACAACTCCTCCTGTATCGGAGATACAAATTGGTGTGATGCTCATAAAACAAAGTTTTTTGCCCCTGTTTATTCAGTATATTGTTTTAGCACACACACATTACTGCAATGACATAGTGCAGATTAGCTTGTACCAAACAGCAAAATATCAGCTGATGTATTTGAAGTGAATGATAGTATAAGACTTACTGAAAGGAAGAGCAACATCATAACTGTCGGAGCAATTTTCCACATCAGTAGTTTAACACCTGAACTATTGCTTATTTTTGCAACTGAACAATTTCCCAGTTTCTAGCCATTCAACTCCAAAAACACTGGTTCTGAGATGTGTCAAACATCATTTGCCTAAAAGAGCTAAACACACCACTGAGACAACAGAGACTTAAATCAGGAGACGGGGCTTCTTTCAAAATAAACACGCTCCATGTCTCAAATTCCCCTTTACTAGTCTGTAACCAACTGGGCTGTAAATAATCCCAAGCTTCACAGACACTGTAATATTAGGCTCTCTCGGACTCAACATCATAAAGATGGAGTTATTCATTTTAACTTTGTGTTACCATAATTCTCACCTTTGCATATGAAGATGATCTGTGAAGTCTGTTACCAGCCAGCGGAAGGAAGCAAGGAAGCAGGCAAGAAAGAAAAGAAAAAAGAAAAAGAGAGAAAAAGAGAAAGGAATTTTTGCACCACGTACTCTGGACATGAACTTCTCCACTTCTCACACTCTGCTAGTTACCGATCCGTTACCACTACATTTTAAAAGGCTTCCTTACATTCACAAAGTAGGAAGATTCAGGGTATGTCTACACAGCAGAGTTTTTCCGAAAAAACTTCACTTATGTCCACACTGCAATCACATTCTTTTGAAAGAAATCAAAAGAACAGAGGGGTTTTCCGACAGTAGTAATCCTCATTCTACAAGGAAGAAGACTTTTTCCGAAAGAGCTCTTTTGCAAAAAGGCATGTGTGGACGGGGAAGAGGGAGTTTCTTCAAAAGAAAAGGAAAGAGGAAAAAGCACAGGTGCCCTGGTGGCCACTCCGTCCATAGTAATCACAGCTGAAATGCAAGATAGCATCCAGATCGCTTTTTCAATGCGCTTTTGCTGTGTAGACGCTCCCTTTCAGAAGTAGTATTTTTGGAAGTTCTCTTCCAGAAAACCTTCTTCCGAAAGAAGCCTGCAGTCTAGACATAGCCTCAGTTTCAGACTGAAAAAGACAGGAGACTATTTAATATTCTACATTTCTAGGCTTCGAAGAGGGCTGATATTCCCAAGAGTACTCAAGGAAAAATTTCGATCTGGTTGGGAATTTTTCTAATATGTTTGTCTGCTGAAAAGTACCAATTCGTCAAAACTGGAACTTTTTGCTGAAAGACATCTGGTCTGACCCAACATCAGTCAGCAAGACCCAAGGTGGAATTCCTGATGCAAGTGAGAGAGACACTCCAAGGCCCTGAACTTGCATATTCCACATCCCAGGTGAGTGTCCCAATCACTTGGCGAAGGACTATTCTAAGACTGCTCTTTCCATCTTACCTGCTGAAGTTGTTCCATCTGTACTATGCTAGAGACTGACTCCATCACCTGAGGGTACGACACTCACTGGGGACATAGCAGCCCCACACGGGACCTACACTTGGGATTTCCACATCTCTGAGCTACTGATTATAATGTGATGGGTCAGGGTTCCTCTTGCTCCACTTTATCTACCCGCACATGCACACACCAAATGTCAAAGGGTCTCAGCTTCGGTCCAAAGGGGAACAAAAACCAGCTCTGAACGCTCGGTATTTTTCGACAAATGGAATTCTCATTTTCTAGCCAACTTTGAAACAAAAATGCAGTTGTGAGGCTTGGGAGTCTCTCACGTGCTGCTGTTCTGAAGGCTAAAAAAAGAAAATGGCTGGACAGGTCTTAAAACAGAGTTTACAGACTGGGGGTGGGATAGCTCCTCTTCTCTATCCTCTAAGCAGTGGTTCCCAAACTTTTCGGCATCACACTGCCTTTTTGATTTTTGAGAAAACCTCACCCCCCCAACCCCACCCCGCATAGCAGCAAAACTTGAGCAAAACAAAAAAACCAAAAAAACCCAACAACAACCAAAAGGGACTGAGTGGGGCCGAAAAACAAAAATAGCAGCAAAACTTGAGCAAAAAAACCCCAAAAAACCCCAACAACAACCAAAAGGAACTGAGTGGGGCCGAAAAACAAAAATAGCAGCAAAACTTGGGGAGAGGGGGATTGATGGAGGGAGGGCCTGGATCGCCTCGTGCCCCCCCGGAATTTCTTCATGCCCCCCCCATGAGGGCACGCCCCCCAGTTTGGGAACCCATGCCCTAAGGAACTTGAGGGAGTGGACTGGAAGGGAGAAGAGTAGGCAATAGCCAGCCAGAGCCTGTCTGTAAGGTACCTGGCAATGTAAGCAGGGGATCCAGGCTTCAATGACGGACTCCATGGCACAAAGGAGAAGCAGGAGGCATTGGGAACGATTGCCCTTCCATGGAGTCCCAAGTCATGCTGCCTGGATACTTACCTGTTCCATTCAGGTGCAAATCCAAAAAAAAATCATCAAAACAGACAAAAAAGAATGCTTCAGGTCCATCTGGAGCTAAAATATTTCTCATTTTCTGGAAAACTAGCATGCTAAAAAAAATGATTGTGAGTCAACCTGAAACTCAATAATTTGTTTTTAAGTTTTTAGTTTTTCCAAATATTTTCAATTTTTTTTAAATCATTCAGAGGAAATAGCAAACCAGTCATCTTCTTGAAAAGAAGTCAAAACATTTCATTCTGGAAATGCTGAAGTGTGACATTTTGAAATCCCCCCTCCCCCACTACCAAAACAATCTGCCAAACCAACTTTAATTTCTGAATTGGTTTTGTCACCAAGTTTTTCCTTTATTTTGGTGAAGAAAGGTTGGGCATGAAAAATGCCTCCCAGTCCTCCCCACAAGCCTTTGCAAGGGCACTAGCAGCAGGTATGTAGGCTGCATCTTTTCAAAGGTAAAACAAATGTGTCTCGCCCCACTATTCTTCTTAGAGTCTAGGTGTTATTTGTTTAGAGGCACAGTGCTTCACAGCCTCCATGGACTGCATGCCGACTAGGGTTGCCAGATGGTTGAAACAAAAATACTGAACCCCCCCCCCTCCCAAAAAATAACACCGTGAAAAAAGGGGGGGAACCAAAGTTGTTGAGGAGGGGGAAAAAAAACCCAGCATTGAAACACATGTTCCCTTTAAGAATGAGTGCAGGGAACAGGGGTGTGGTTTAGCACTAAGACCCGGGGGAAGCACTGCTTCCCTTAGGTCTTTTGGTCTGCAGCCATTTTGTGCCTGCAGCCTTGGAGAACCAGGTAAGCATGGGGACTGGGGTCAGGAGGCTGGGCGTGTTGGGGGCTGAGGAATTCAGGGGGGAGGCCAGGCGCTGAGTGTTTGTAGGATTGCCAGGTGCCCGGCATTTTCGCCTCCTGGCTGGGGAAAAATTCAGAGAATACCGGACATCTCAGGTGTCCAGTATTCTCTGAATTTTTTTTTACCAGACAGGAACTGAAAACTATAATTTTTTTTTTTTTTACCAGACAGGAACCGAAAACACCAGACTGTTTGGGTGAATACCGGACACCTGGCAACCCTAGCCCAGACATGCAGTGTGACCCACGAGACATTTTGTTTACTGTTGCCCACATGCAGGGTTGCAAGATTTTGCTGGTTTCCATCTGTGTATTTTTTACTAATGGTATTACTAGAGCAACATGAATGTAAAAGCAAGGGCTCATGAGGTGTGCTCATTGCACACAGCATTGATTGTGAGAGTCATGTGCTCCCTTTGCAACCAATCACAGCACTGCTATGGTTCAATTGGCACAACCCACAAATTCTAAGTACAAAAGCGCAGTTAGCAAAACTACCCTAACCAGGGAGACCATTTTGGTCACGATAATCTTGAAGCTCACGGAGATGAAGGAGGGCCACCCATGCGGCCCACTCACTAGCCTTGATTGCCCCTCAATGCTTCACACTAGGTAAATTAACTAACATGTATTTGTGTAAATATGTAATCGCTGGAATTTTTAGCAGTTACACATTTACACACGGGGAGAGCAGGCAGGAGCTGGTGCAAGGTGGTGGAGGGCAGACAGTGCTATGGGAGTTGATGCTCGTGCAGGAGTATCTGCCTCCAAACATGTTGCAAAAGAAATATAGTAATACTAGCAAAACTAGCTAACTAGTAAAGCTAACTTGGTTTTTACTTTACCAAGAGCAAGAAAACACCCTGCATTGTATTAAAGAGCACAAATCCACCCAGGAAGTATTTTGCTGTTTAATGTAGCTGTCTTGCCATGCTGTCAGTAACCACGCCCAAGAGGAAACAGGGACAAACAAATGAATGGGAATAGAAATCACTGAAGTACTAGTTTGGATTAGAGGAAGCTCACCAATGACCTGTTTTCTCCATTTGTTATTCCCAGGGGAAATTTGGCCTTCCCGGCTTGTTTTTTCCTGTGATTAAATTCATATCAAATATTGATTATAACTAGGAACCCACGTCTTTCAAATGTGGGTGTTAATACTGTCAGTCAGACATGACCTGAAAGAAAACCTCTATTTGCCTTTCTCCATCCTAATTCCCTCCTCTTTCAACAGATTGTCTTTACATTGTACAACATGTTCACACTTGTAAACATCAGTTTTCCTGATGAAAATGTCCATAAGGGAATTTGCTAAAAAACATTAAAGTGATCTTGCTTGTGAGGTTAAGCACAACTAAAAGCCATGTTTTCCAACTATAAAAGTGGAATACAATAAAGTCTCCGAGGAAATACTGTTCATATCAACACCAGTTTCAATTTACCGTGGTCTAAAAGTAGAAGGGCTGGCAGGAAAATCTAGAGATCCTAAAACAGAGAAGTAAAGGAACAGAAGCTGATGACTAAGGTTCACGTTGTATTATTTTCCTGACTGGGAGAATCAAGTTCTAGGATGGAAGATCTCTGCGGTAGAACTGCTAGTCTGTCATTACCTACTGATTCCCCATTCCATGTCGAGAGTAGGGATGTTAAATATCGGTTAATTGAATAATCAAGTAACCTCATGAATACTTATCGATTAGTCAACTATTCTATAATCCCTGGGGACTGCAGCAGTGCAGGGTGTCATATGGGAGCTAGTCCATGAGAGAAGCCAGTTTAAAAACCAGCTCCTCTTGCAGACCAGCTGCTTGTCTCCCTGTGCTGCTGCCTCTGATAAAGAGGCAGCAGTGCGGGGTGGCAGCAGCCCCTGTTTGGGGGGGGCGGATCTGAGCTCCCGGAACTGCCGGAAACTGGAACTGAGCCGGGCTGACTGCCTGCCCAGCTCCTAATGCACCTTAAATGCAGAGTCAAGGCGGGAGTAAGTCCCAGACCAGCGCGAGCCAGAACTAAGCCGTGCTGCTGGCCAGCCTGCTAAAAAATTTACTGGGAGGATGGGAGGAGAGGGAGGGAAATGCATGTAGTCTACAGCATTAACCTATAACATTTTGCTTATCCGTTAATTAGGGTTGCCAGATGGTTTCAACAAAAATAACGGACACACTTGACATTAAATCACAATCTACATTACAT